ATGACTGTATACGTGTTCCCCTGACTGTCTATATAGGACATGATAGCCTCAATAAGCCGTGAATGGCAAAGGGAAAGCTGCTGCAGGGACACCCATAGGTTTACTTATCAGATATTGGGGTCACCACCAAAGCAATTGCTTGCCAGACGCAAGGGGGCAAATATTACACGTGAATTTGATACCCCGGGAGGGGGGGCTTTTCAGGTTGCCAACCCTGACTTGAGCCTTCAAGAAAGGGTGGGACATGTGAGGGGGGAACAGAACGTGACAGAACAAGTGAGGGGAGTTTCTGCCTCCCTCCTCCAAGTCTCAGATCTCTGTAACACAATGGGCCGAGCTCACCAATGCATGCTTACGACTGTTACCCACAAGCCCCCAGTCCTCCCTGGTTCTTGAGAGTCTCCACACTACCCACCCTCTTGAGATGCAGCAATTGTGTTCTGAAAGCTTTGTACCACATAATGCGTTCGTTTTCAATTAGTAACAGGTTTTAGGTTAGAATTCAAACCCTTCTCTTTCATTTCAATGATTGTTTATTGTTATAAAAATCTGAATCAAATTACAGATACGGAATAGAAGAATCCTTTTACATCAGTTTGCCCCAACGTAGCGCCTTCCCTGAGCTACAGAGGATGGGAAGTAAATTCCAACACATCCAAAGGACAGCAGGTTGGGGAAAGCTGGTCCACGTGTTTGGCTATGAGCCATCAAAAAGCTGAACAATCAAAGGATGATACATAACCGACATGGAGGTGTTACCAAATGCTGCATATGGTATACCCTTGCCCAGACAGCCCTGCTTAGGCACTGAGGACAGCTCTGGGAAGCCCTTCCAAGGTGCTACCGCTGCTGCAGGTTAAAAAACCCTGAAATTTATCAGGTCTTTCTTGCTAGCAGCCAGCCCAGCTATGGAATTCTCTCCTCCCAACTTTGGTTGGTACCTGTATTATCTATTTTTCAGTGTCAAATGAAGGTTTTCCTTTTTCGGCAGCTGCTTGAGTTGTTTTCTGGTGGTAGACTGTATCCATTTTTATTCAATTGCTGCGACCCAGCCCAAGGGGTGATATCAATGTGACTGATAAATCAATGCATTAGTAAATATGAGGAGCGAGGTCTATTACGGCACTACCGCCCCCGCCCCCCGCCAAAGACTCCAGTGTGTTCTTCTACCCTAGGATCAACTATGAATGACTGAGATTCCTCTTTCTGCAGCAAATGGCTCTTGGAAGAACAGCCTGCTCTCCATATTATGGTACCAGGCATTTTTCAGAACATGCCAAAAATTATCGACAATTTATTGCATAAAAACACCCAGGAGCTCCTTCACTTGCTGGGGCTCCAGCTACAAGGAGAAGTCCTTGCATTGTTCACTCTAATATAGAGAGACCAAGTTTGGGTCATACAGTAGAAACGTTCAGCCATTCCTCTCCTCCACTACCACTCTCTCCCTTGATAGTCAGTGGAATTTTCCTGCACTGAATGATTTGACGAGGCAGGTAAATGGAGGTAAAGCTATTTTACTTAGTTTAACCAAGGGAAGATTAGTCTTTTTGAGTACTTGCTACACTTTATCAAATAATCTTAAGGGGCAAGAACCACTGTCTCCTTTGATGAAGTGTGACTGCTGAAAGGGGAAATGCTGAAAACAGGACAGGGATGTCACAAAAAGGGAGGAGTTGATATTCTCATTTATTGCTAATTATAAAAGCACTGAATGTAGACGAGATTCCATACAAGAATAAAACAAACTTTCCTATCTGCAGGCTCAGAATTTAGAATAGGACAAAGTGTCCTATTCCATTAGCAAGAGAACAAGGCTGATGCTTGGTGCACCTTCTTGAGGAGGAGGAGAAGGTCCACCAACTAAAATTTCATTTTGCAACAGAGAACAGTTTAGCTTTGAGACAGAGTTCCTTGGGAGGGGTCAGAACTCCTTTGCTGTACCTGCATCTTGTAAAATGGGGGCTGTACTGAACATGGAGTTGCAGCAGTTCATCTCTCGTATCTTCTAACTCGGTGATTCAAAAAAGATTTGGAAACTCAAAGCAGGGGCCAGGGGCTACTAAAATGAATGGGGCAGTGATCTGAAAAAAGTGTGAAGGAAAAAGAGGTGGCCTCTTAGGAGGAATATGGGCATATGAGAAGAAAAGGTGAGAGAAAATGAATGAAGAAGAGAGGAAATGCTGGACCAACGTTCAGGATATGAGTTAATATGGGCAGTGGAACCAAGGTGAAGAATAGGGGCAGAAAAGCAAAGGAGAAGCACAGTCAAAAACATCAAGGAAAAATGAGTGAGGAAGAAGCAGAACGTGCCACATGGCAGCAATCCATAAACTGAAAGGAGCAAGATAAAAACAACACGAGCATTGAAATGAGAACATGAGAAGCACCATGCTGCATCCAACTAGTCTAGCTGTCTACAGGAAATGCACAAGCCGTTCGCGCAACAGCACCTCCTGCCTAAGTTCCCAAGTTCCCCTAAGTTCCCCAATATGGGCATAACGTCTTGGGCATAACGTCTCCAGATAATATAGCGCTGTCAGGACTTGCAGCTATGGATTGCTTTCTCCTCCGTGAATTTGTCAAATACTCTTTTACAGTCATTCCAATTGATGGTCATCACATCTGTAAGAAATAATGAGGGAGGGAGGGCGGACGGATGATCTTATATGAATGAGAAGAGTCATTCCAGCAACTGCCATACAACACTGGGCATAAGGGTGCGATGGGGAAATGGGAAAAGAGAGATGAACTGTATGACTCTAGAGTGGTTGCTGCCAACTGGCGTATTCCAGTTTCCATAACAGCATAGAGAGAGAAAAAGATTGTACAGCACAGCTGATTGGCTAACTGCAGAATAGCATTTTAGAAGACTGAGCACGGTGCAGAAATGACAACGAACATCAACTAAATTAGGAGGATAAAAGGGATGTGCGGAAGGGCCAGGCTTGAGAGCAGCACCAGCAACTGCTGACAGAAATGGGGAATAATTGAATGATGGCAAAGTAGGAGAACACCTAAACCAAGACAGATAAGGAGAAACTGCAGAAGGGGTGAAAACAGTGATCAATTCCAGATGTCAACAGGAACAGAATGAACCCTCCACGGCCTCGATGTTAACGGTCAGCCAGCCACTAATCTTTAGTACTGGTACTGGTGGCACCCATCTTCTAATTTCTTTTGTCTCCCTTTTTTGGTAAATACCAAACTGTTTGCAGAATAATGCTTAAGGGAATTATTTTTAGAATACCTAGAAGAATTTTGCCAGTTTGAGGGAAAGTGATCACCACCTGCCTGAATTCTTGATTTGCTTTCTTAAAGGAAGCAAAAACGGAGTCCAACAATGCTATACTGGGCTGCAATAACTTCCAACTCACATGAAGTACTGGCTCCCTTCTATTCAGAACCAGTTAGGTCTCATCTTCTGGGCACCACACATCAAGAAAGATGTAGACAAACTGGAAGGTCAGAGGAGGGCAACAAAGATGATCAGGGGACTGGAAACAACGCCCTATGGGGAGAGCTTGAAAGAACTGGGCATGTTTAGCCTTGAGAAGCAAGAGAAGACTGAGAGGAATTATGGTAGCCCTGTTCAAATACTTGGAAGGCTGTCACAAAGAGGAGGGGAAGGACCCAGAGTACAGGAAACGGAATAATGGGCTCAAAGGTGTGGGAAGCCAGGTTCTGGCTGTACATCAGTAAAAACTTTCAGACTGTTAAAGCAGTACAGCAGTGGTACCCATGACCTGGGGAGGTGGTGGGCTCTCCCACGCTGGAGGCAATGAAGAGGCAGCTGGAGAGCCATCTACCAGGGATGCTTTACCTGGAGTCCTTCCCTGAGCAGGCCCCTTCCAACTCTACCATTCCACGAATCTCTGCCTTATGGCCCAGTGTGCTTTCCAATCATTCTAAGAAGTATAAAGTGAACTGCAGCATCTCTGCCCTGACCAAACAGAGCTGGACGGTTGTAGGCATCCCATGCATGATGGAAGGAGCACAGAGGTAAAGGTTGCCTCCATGCATCTCCTCCCCACCGAAGGATTAAGACTCTTCCCTCAGCATGCAAGAATGGTGCCACGAGGCTACATCCCATCCTGGCTCCACAGAATACCCACAAAAGTTTGTCTCCAAGGTCAGCACCCTCGGAGATGCAGCTTGCCCAGAGATGCACTAGCAGCAGAGGAGGAGGGAAGGTGCGGAGAGGTCAAAAGCCCAGCTCCATCCTCAAAGTATATTTTTAAGACTGGAACTAGGTCTCTGACTGTTCCTATGGTTTGCTAGACACTGATTAGGATTGTCTCCCTAATGCTGGATTCGGCCCAATAATATAAAGTTTCCATGATTATAATTTTGAGCAATTGCTCATATTTCAGGGGTTCTGTCCGCATAAATATGTTTTTAAATCCTTATTTTAAAGTTTGCCTGAATTTTCTGCAGAAGAACTTCAATAAATTCTACAATCAGTTTTCAAAGCACACATTTGAAAAACAAAAAGAGAGGTAGAAAAGGCTTTTGGAGGAAATAAAGAGCAAGAACAACTATGGAAAGCAGTGTTTTGTAAAAATACAGGCTGCTATTCTACCTACCACCTCCAATGCTGGAAACCCAAATTACTGCATAGGACAGGAAAGGCTTATAAATCCTACCAGACATTTAGGAAGAGTTTTTCCTTCCATATTTAACCACTGAAAACACCAAGTAACTCTGATTATATTTCGGCCACTACATGCTCTAATCGTTTTGCCTGCTGATACAGCAAAGGTCTCATAATTTAGCAAATAAAAAGATGAACGCTATACCTTAGTTAGCATTAACTAGCCAAGGTTTGTTCTGTCACTGAAAGCCACCATTCAACCACATGTATTACACCTTCCCACTGGACAAAAGCGAGGGTAAATATCTATATTTCATGAACAAAGAAAAGGAATTGTATTCTGCAAGACACCAGGCTGAAGCAAATACTTAAAACAGTTCTCCATGGTTCTGCCCATTCCCATTACCTGTCATAGCAATTGAAATCATCGAGCCAGCAACCTTTCTTCACCAGTTCAATAGAACCAGAGTTGTTTCTCCAGGAGGCGTAGCAATGGAGGCGCTTGTCCTTCTCTCCTTCACAGCGCTCCACCCCACTCTGGTTGGTCTTTTCCAGTTCCCAGTTAGCATTGTAATAGATGCATTGCCTTGTTTCTGCCTCACCATGGCCTGGCCCTGGAAGAAGATCAGAAATGGAAGGCTCTTAATAACCAACCTGAGCAGCAAGGAAAGAAACCCAACATAGACACAGGCTGCATTCACACAGCATGACTAGCAACCCTATCCAGTTACCATGGTTTGCATCTTTTAACTATGATCTACCTGTGGTTTCTACTTCATTGTGGTTTCCATCTTCCCCACTCACTCCTCCCACTGTTGGCACATATCCCGTCAACTACCGTGCACGAATTCAATACCAAGGTGTATCACTCCTTGCCTGTGTAGCCTTCCTCTTCCTCACTGGTCCACACACAGAGGTTGGAAGGCTGGAGTTGCTACTGTTTCCAGGGGATTCTGTGGTAGCTGCAAACTGGGGCTGTGGAAACCACGCTTCTCAGTTCAGACAACACAGCAAGCTATCAAAGCATGGAGAAACCATAACACAAACTGTTGTTTCTTATCATGGTTTCTAAAGATCATGGTGAGGTAGCATCACTGGGTTCAAGCAACATGACAGACCAAGAATGATAAAAAGCACCAGCATAAAAAGTTAAGCAGAGGAACTTCCAGGTAACTGGAACAACAGAGACAACATCTTTTATGAGTGAAATGAGCGAACCTACATATTTCGGGCTCAGGCAGTCTTTATCCTGCTAGCCCCACAACACATCAAGCCATGATGAAATTGCTTCTGCAGGTACACAGGGTTCTTCTACAGCATGAAGCAAATACAGAACGTTTACATAGCTGCTAAGAGTCTAAGTAGAGTCATAAAAAGCTCAAGGGCAATGATCTCAGACATGAATTTAGAAGCTGGTCTTAGGCAAGTCTTTCATTCTTAGCTTGCCTTTGTCCCTCTGCATCTGCAGTAAAGGGATAATTCAATGAATCCACGACAGCACCTGAGCCCAGGTTTGTTGGATCCAAGATCAACCGTCTGAGCTGGTTCAAACACTGTGATATACAGGGGTTTGCTCAATGAGGTTTGCTCTCATCATGTTCAGCCATACTTCTTCTCGTCTTCTTTTCAAGCACCTCTTCAAGGAGAAGATCAGAAGCTTTCATTTCTTTAATTAACCCAACAAATTCTGGTTAATCTTAACTATGGTTTGAAATAGGCCAATTTCAAATCACAGGTTACAAAGCTGGCTTGTTTGAATAAACCATAATTAAGATTAATTATAGTTTAAAGCTTGGCCCTTCTGCTAAAGTATGGTTGAGCAAAAGCTTCTGATCTGCCCCTGGTAGTTGTGGGACATGAACTTGTTAAAAAGCTATTCAATGGATTTCCTATTGAAACAGGACATCAAGGATGAATGTTCCTGGCTCTTCCTTGATAGCAAGCATGTCTCCCTATGGACACGACTCAGTTCATGCCCACTTGAGTTTCTCTCTTACATATATTACTACATAAACTAAGCACTCAAAGCCAATAGCCAATTAGATATCTGAAGTGCTAGCACGGGAGCGCAAAGAGAGCTGCACGGTGGCAAATATCGTCCAATGTGATAGCTGTAAGGTGATTTCCTGATTCCTGTCTATAAAAGAGGCACACTATGACTGCTGATGCTACAAACCGCTTGGCTTATGTAGCCATTTGTCCAGAATAAAGTTTGCTCTAGTTGCTAAGAAGAAATTGCAACTGCTGTGTCTTATTAGGACGAGCACACCAGGAACCAACAAACTCTTGCCGTTAGCAGCAGTGTTCTTTTGGGAATAAATGGCTTTAGCAAGAGCATCCACAACAAGACATCTGGCAAGCATCGTATTATCCCACTCTGTCCTTCAATCAAAGGGCAAGGCCACTGGACAGTCAGAGGGTCAAGAGCGCCGAAGCTCATATTCTAGGAAAACCACACTATGTCGCTGGTGATTAAATGTGTTCAACATCAGAAGAGGTGATAAGGAGACCAGAGAAAACGGAGGATGCTTTGCACCACTGCGTTCCCCCACCCCACAGTCATCAGAGCGAGAACAGCCTTGCCCTCCCTCCCTTTCTCTTTCTCTGTGTGTATCAACCAGCAGCTGTTAACTTGACCTAAAAAGCAAAACCCTAAGCTGAAAGAACCTGCATGTGCTCTGTCTAGAGAAATGGAACCCTGCAACTCACACAAATTACAGCAATTTGCATAAGCGTGGCGAGGCAGTGCCTTTATTAGAACCAACTAGAACATCACTAAACTATGAACAAGCTCTCAAGTTCTGCAGAACTTTGTCAGGCAGGATCTCAGACAAAGCCAGGCTGGGGAGAGGAGTGAGGGGCTGGCCTGGTGCTGAAACCTTGGTGTCTGCATTTAGCCATGGGCTAGAAACTGGGTGGAAGGGGGCAGCAGTCTACCACACAGTCCTATGCATGGCTGGACAGAAAGAAGACTCACAATTCCTACCGCGGGTCTTGTTTGTCTTTCTAAACTTGTTTAAGATCATGCTGTTAATTAGATTAAGCGGCTGCTCCATAGGTTTCAGACTGTACCCAGGAATGATCCTAAATCTGCTCAGATGAAGAAGCATCCAATTGCATTTCCCCCATTTTTGAAAATATAAAATCTGGATCTAACTACAGCATTAGGTGAAACACAGTGGCTCCCCAGTAGATAGTAAAGATAAAACAGGTAGTTTAATGCACAGCTTTCTGCTTATTTTACATGATTTAGCTTGCAATCCTATCTCTGTTTAGACAAAATCCAACCAGCCCAACCTTGGCTTTGGGATTCAACTTACAATCAACACAGCTACTTACAATCAACACACTATTCTATTGCTACACGAGAAACTCCCATGAATTAGTATGCTATGTTATTTCTAAGTAAATCTAAGTAATTAGAAAAGCAGCATAAACATGCGAGACCCCAGTAACTTCTTTCTATCTCACAACATCCCTACAAGGTGGAGCAATTCCATTGCATCTGTTTGACAGAGTGTGAATTGATGTGCAGGAAAAAACCCTAAAGGATTTGTTCATCTTCTTGGAGGGGCAAACGACCATGACATTATTATAGAATGGCCCGGAGAACTGAAAGCAGAGGACTGATGGCCTTCTCACGCGTATCCTCCAATATTTTACAGATGGAAAAACACGGCATTCATACATACATTTAACAACCCTTAATTCCACACCAAGGATCACCACCTCTGCCTCCTTCCTCCCTGCAAGTTCTTTTCACCCACTATACACAGCAGTCATTTATTCTGGAATGGCTTGTTTTTTGTGGTCTCAAAAGCAAAACAGCTGTATGTTCATTGGGCTACCGCAGAAAAACATTAACCTCATTGTTCAACTGAACTTTCCAGCCAGCGGGTATAAATGAAATCACACTCTGCTCTATCCTTCCCCAACCTGGTTGACTTCTGATGGTTTGGGAGTACTACTTCCACCATTCCTGGGCTGTTCTCCTCCAACACACCTGGAAGGTACCAGATAGGAGGGGGCCGCACCATACAGCTACACGGTGTATTTATTTACCAGTAAATCTCAAGTTACGTTACGGCAGGAGCCCTACACATCAGAAGGAGCCACCCAAATGGGCCGTTTACCTTCCCCCTGAAGGAAGCACAGAAATGTAAAGGCTCCCTCCCTCCCTCCCTCCCTCCCTCCCTCCCTCCCTCCCTCCCTCCAAAGGAGGACTGCCCTGTGGAGGGCAGGATCACCACCCAGCCAACAAAACGGCACTGGGTTTGGGGAGTGACATCACCCATCCATGGCTTTCTCGCCAGATGCGAATTTGCCCTGGCAAAAAGCACAGGGGACTAGTGTTGGGTTTGGGGGTTGGCAGCGGCCTACAAGCCAGCTAAGGTGGCCAGGTGTCCTGCTTTACAGATGGCAGTCCTCTAGTCTGGAGAGCTGGCAGAGGACAGTCCTCTTTTCGGGGGTGTCCTTAATCAAAGGGCTGTCCAGCTGGGAAGGACTGGTTTAAGTCGAAGAACCACCAGGAAAGAGAACAGCAGTGGCCCGAAAGTTATCCACCAAAAGTGAGCGCCTAGATGGCAGCTGATGAGACATCTGAGCCCTCTAGTCTCCCTCTCTGCTACGGCAAGTTGTCTCCTATTTCTATTGAGGTGACAGTCTGCATTTCTCCACCGGCAGCTACACGCATGCCCCTGTGCATGCAAATACCGTGCAGGATTCTCTCCTCCTTTTCCGTGCCATCTGAAACCGGGCTCTCCACGTCGGGCTCTCCGTCACTGCTGCTATTCCCTCATCATCTTCCGAACTTTCATTAGTCAGGTAAGCTCAATGACTTGCAGACGCATGTTCAGACCACTTCCTTTGAAAAAAAGCTTTGCAGCTGAAGTGATACAAGGGCCGGAAGGCAACACTGAAAAGCCCTTGACTTGAGAGCAAAGAAAGCTGCAGAATCCAGGCAACTGAACCTGCGTATACACATCCACACAAAGTTAATGGAAAAGACTCAGACAGGCCAGCTACATGAGACTCAGGGTCAGTCCGCCCTCACATAAGCATGAATGCCACGCGTGGTTACAGCAAGCCCATCCCAAGCCTACAGGGCTGGAGCACCGGATTACTTGGAGAATAAAATAGGCAGAGACCCCATATAGCATCCTGAAGCCTCTGGACAAAGGGTTGTAATACAGATTTTACAGACATATATTGAATTTGATGGACAAGCGAGAGAAAGAAAATTCAGTAAACAGGTAGCAAGTTCCTTTGAAGAGTTTCTGATGCCCTGAATTGGGTTTATCCATGGGGAAGAAACCACTAACAGCCGGAGGGTGTACGGACTTTCATGTAACATGAAACGCTGCAGCTGGTGATGGGCTTGATAACAAAGTCTCCATTTCCAGTCTCCATCGTGCCATGACAGTTGCAAAACCGCCTTTGGAAAGCCCCTCTTCAGTCTGATCTACCATGTCACTTTGTTCTGGGGATCAAAGGTAATAATGACAAAGCAGCCATCCTCAAATGGGCACAGCCAGAGGAACAAAAAGACACTGTGAATAAATCCAGCCTCCTGCTTATGTACGTTGTTTGGGTTGGCAGTGAAGTCAGTGGCGTG